GAAGAAGCTGTATTATCTTTGAAGCCTTAGGCTTGGAATTAATGTAGCATCAGTTCCATCGCACTCTATTTTTTAGAAATGAGTTAGTAAGTCCAGTCCATATTTAAGGGGACAGGAACTAGACTCCACCTCTTGATGGGAAGAGTGTCAAAAAACTGTGAACAAGTTTTAAAATTCCAAAGTATATCTACTGGCCACAAATTATTTATATTGCTTCCACATTCAAAAAAATCCATAAATTCACCCCTTCCAGTACACCCCAGTGTCTCATCAGGCTTAGGATCAAGGTTCAAAATCTTATCATCTAAATCAAATCTAGGTACAAATGAAACCCCTTGGGTGAGGTTTCTTTTTTTTTTTTTTTTGCGGTATGCGGGCCTCTCACTCCCGTGGCCTCTCCCGTCGCCGAGCACAGGCTCCAGACGTGCAGGCACAGCGGCCGTGACTCACGGGCCCAGCCGCTCCGCGGTATGTGGGATCCTCCCGGACCGGGAAACGAACCCGTGTCCCCTGCATCGGCAGGCGGACTCTCAACCACTGCGCCACCAGGGAAGCCCGGGTGAGGTTTCTTGTATATTGTTTCTCTCAGTCTGAACACTTGTGAACCAACACCTATATACCCAACAAACAATGGTGTGCTATGCCTTGGAAAATCACTGTAGACATTCTTGCTGAAAACAGAGGAAAATGGAAGTACACAATCGTCATTGGTTCAATGAAATTTTGAAATCTAGCCAGGCAAACATTCCCTGTTCCTTCTTCAGGTCTCAGTCCTACTGCCTAGGAAGGATTTTCCCACTTCTCCTGGGTCTCCCCTTTCAGTCTTGGTTCCTCTTAAATTATCTTGGTTCCCTTTAAATTATCTTTCCTTTTATACAAAATGTGCCCTGTATTGGAAGCTGAATAGTTTTATCAGCCTGTCTCCTGCCCATAGAAATTCTGGAATCTAAAGATCTCTTTTTGTTTCTAACTATTTTTGTCCCTTTTAGTCCATGCTGGCAAAATGTTAATCAATAAAATCTTGTCACTGTATTTTTTAAAATTGTAACCATGTGTGGTGATGGATGTTAACTAGACTTATTGAGGTGATCATTTTACAATATACACAAATATTGAATCATGTTGTATACCTGAAATAAAAATAATGTTATATGTCAATTATATCTCAATAAAAAACAAAACAACAAACCCCCCCCAAAAAAAAACCCAGCAAAAACCTCTGTGGACTTCTCATCATTTTTATTAGAGTATACTCCATTAGACAAAAACTTCCCCACAAATCTTTTCGATGTAAGTCCTTCTCTACCTTGGGATTCCTGTAAAGCTGCAATGGGACCATTACTTTAAGATTATTAGAAGCCCCACTGTTTAACTAAGAGAGTCTGCCTGGTATGCCCTTAAGATGCTTAGAGAAACTTTGTCTGTTTCAAGGGGTCTATGAGACATTACCCACAAAGGCTCTTTGGCTTTTGGATTTGATCTTTGGTCTGACACCCTTTCTTAATCTGAGAATCTTCTGCTGTATGGAGAAACTGGGAATGAGAAATACTTTTATATTTGAATGTAGCAAGCACTGGATCTTTTATATATTTTCTTTAAGTTTTCTTGAAAACGAAACAGTTCCCATTTTGAACTCATCTCTCTACATATTTATATGTGACTAAAAGAAGCCATCTGGCATTTTCAACATTCTGGCTGAAATTCTTTTTAGCCAAATCTACCAGTCCACTCGATACCTTTTGTATTTATCGTGTCACTGCAGGTGACATCTTGCTAACATTCTAGTAGCCTCTTCAAGGGCCATCAGGCTTCTGTGCACAGTCTCTTCAAAATCCCTCCAACTTCTGCCCACCACTCTGTCCCAGAGTCAATGTCCCACGTTTTAGGTTTTGTTACAGCAGCACCCAACTTCCAGTTCTCAGAATCTGTTCCAATTGTCTACTATCATGCATAAAACATCTCAAACAGTGGCTTAAAACAACAGTAACACTTATTTTTCTCACAAATCCTGGGTTTGACTGGGCTTGGGTAAGTGGTTCTCACGCAGGATCTTATGAGGTTGTAATAGTGCCCGGGACTGGAATTATCACCAAGGCTTCATCACTCACAACTGACATCTAGACTGGGAAGCCTTTTGGGTACCACTTTCTCGATTTGGTATCTCCACATGATCTTTCTAAGTGATGGACACAGGGTAAATGAACTTCTTACGTGGGGGAAAAGCTCCCAGAGTGACTGTCCCAGGAAACACTGGAAGAGGCCACATGGACTTCTCCATCCTAGACTCAGAAGTCACCCAGATCTCCTCCCTGGAATTGTCAAGGCAGTCACAAAGACCTGCCGGATTTAAGGAGGGGGTGGGACATGGACTCTCCTTCTTGATTTCTCCTTCTGATAAAAAACTTATAGACATATATTAACACTACCTCAGATATGTCTGAAGGACTGGTAACTTTAGCAGGAAAGGCAATCCAAACTTCTAATGATGCAACTGGTTTCTGCCAGTGATGTTGGAAACACCTCATGTATGAGGCAGCTGATCTGTGTGGATGGTCAGGAGAGAGAGATGGTGGTCTTTTTTTTTTTTTTTTTTGAAGAAGGTGATGATATGAATTTGGAGAGAAAATTGGGATCTAGAGGAAGTAAAGATATCAAATTCTTAACACCCACATAGATCCATCTTTTTAAGGAAGTTAGAATATGTTATTTAGAACAGGGAAGGTTGAAAGCCACTCTCTCTTTTCAGATTTAGGGAAATTCCAAGGTGTAACACTATGTTCCAAGAATATCAGGCTTGTGGAATGCACTTTATTGGAGGCAGACAGGAAATTCCCTGCTGCACAGTAATCAATATTTTCACGCCCTGTCCTGCAAATGCAAATAGGAATCTTGCTCTAAATTCTTGTTGCCTTTCAGAAAGTTACAGGGCATATTTTTTCCTGTCCTCTTTCTTTCTTTCCTTGATAGCAGCCAACCGGGGATTCAGTTGTTATTATTATAATTTAACATTTATTTATCTTTTCTTTGAGAATCCCATACCTTTGGTACAGGAAGGAGTAGCTAAGTTCAGAGTCATAATAAAGATTAGGGAGGCAATACAGAGTTGAGACATCTGCATTTGGGCCACCGGATTTGATGTCTCTGAGCCTTGCTTTCTTCTTGTGAGTAGATGAGCTAGTGGATGTTGACTTCTACTAGAATTGACACCTATAAACAATGCTGTATGTGTCTTGGAGTGAATTAAAAAGTGAATTAAAAACAGAAAATATCTTTGCACTAACATTTCTTTTAAGTCCTCTCATAGTGCTACCATTGTGGGATCAGGTGGATGAATTTCTTTCTTTCTTTCAAGAAGTCTGGGTTTTTTTAATGTCTAAACGTTATTAAATCTAGATTAATGTCAGAAAAACAATGCTGGCTGGCACATTCATATTTTTAGGAAGTCTTCATTTCTCTGAGTGTAAGTATCTGGTCTATAATTCTTTGAGAGGAGCAAGCATCTGCCATCAGTGGCTGCTTCATGTGTTTGCACTTTTGGCCTAGGCCTCCTTTTGTACTGAATGTGGACCGTTTTGCATTGCTGTTTATTTTTCAGTGGCTTTGTCCCTCTCCTGCGTCTACACCACATGTTCCACAACGTCTGGTGTATTTGTAGGTACTCAATAAATGTTTGAAAAAGGAATGAATTTGTTTTCCCATCACTTTCCAAAATGCCTATAAACATCGGACCTGAGTTATAAGTTGGGGATGATGATGTTTCTAAACTGGATACAAGCACATAAGCTCTTGTTTCTGCCATTTTGAGAGAATCACGTGAGTGCACTGGCCACCTTTCATCCTTATGTTGCACATTTGCAACATAAGTGGCCACAGTTGTTTACCAACCCTGATTCATTTCCCATCTCTGACCTCGTCTCTCTAATCCACTAATATCAGGTCACTATATATTTTAAACTCATTCAGTTTCCAGGAAAAGATCTGCTGTCATAATCAGCTATCAGCTGAGGACTGAAAGCCATGATATGAAAGTCTAGCATCCTGTGACAAACTTGGATTAGACTACGATTGCTTAAGTGTTGTCACTGCAAAATGCAAGGTCAGAATTTACATACTATTACTCAGCCATAAAAAGAAATGAAATTGAGTTATTTGTAGTGAGGTGGATGGACCTAGAGTCTGTCATACAGAGTGAAGTAAGTCAGAAAGAGAAAAACAAATACCGTATGCTAACACATATATATGGAATCTAACAACAACAAAAAAGTGGTTCTGACGAACCTAGGGCCAGGACTGGAATAAAGACGCAGATGTAGAGAATGGACTTGAGGATATGGGGAGGGGGAAGGGTAAGCTGAGACAAAGTGAGAGAGTGGCATGGACATATATACACTACCAAACGTAAAACAGATAGCTAGTGGGAAGCAGCCGCATAGCACATGGAGATCAGCTCTGTGCTTTGTGACCACCTAGAGGGGTGGGAGGGAGGCGCAAGAGGGAGGAGATATAGGAATATATGTATACATATAGCTGATTCACTTTGTCACACAGCAGAAACTAACACACCATTGTAAATCAATTATACTCCAATAAAAATGTTAAAAAAAAAAAGAATTTACATACTTTTCCTTAATGATTCCTTTCTAGCTTTGGCTTCACTATGCTGAAATCAACTGAAATACATTCTATTATTGGCAATCTTTTATCTTCTAGTCAAATCTAGCTTGGCGGATCTTGTTATTCCTTATTATTTTTGAAACTATTAAACTAAACAATGTGTGATCTTTCCAGGAAATGCTGCAAGGGAGGCGGCTTCTGGACATGGCCTCTTTATTGTTCTATTTCTGATAAATAATCAGTTCTGTTCCCTCTAAATAATTACTGAGATTGCTCTATTGTTCCGATGACCTCTTTTGAGACAGGGATTTTCCCCTCTGCCTTCTTCCCCATTAATTTCTATCTTTAATGAATGCAAGTACAGTGAGAACTTACAGTGTTGATTGTCCCTATAATTGTTATTGCCGGTTGTGGACATTCTCTATTCACAGTAGTGATTCCTACAAGTTTTCAAGTTACCATATGGAAGTGCAGACCCAATGGAGAGAGAGCACAGGGCTCCCTGAGTCCTGTTCTGCCCTGCAGTGCTGAGGCATTGCTGAGTAATCAACAGGAGCGATCTGCTTTAGATTCCGACGTACCTGTTTTCGCAGTCTCCGAGTCCATGACACTTGGGTAAGTGACACTTCTTAGTAAGTCTCAGTGCCCGTGTCTATATAAGAGGGTGGTAACCATCTCATGGAACAATGTCTGGGTAAATGAGATGATGCTTATAAAGTGTTTAGCACAGAGCTGGGAGCATAATGAGTTCAGTCAATGGTATCCATTACTATTGCATCTCAAATAATGTCTGACTTTTGTGAATCTATTGGGAAAAAGAATTCAAAACTCTCTCAGTATAGGGGTGTGAAATACCTAAGTATTTGCTTCCATGTTCATAGGGTCCCTGTTTGAAGCTTTGCAGATGTGGAATACAACATTTTGGCAGGCTTGCCTCAGCGGAGTGAGTCATTTCAGGGTTTCTCCACATGCCGGAACAATTTTTTCTTTACCCATTTTAGACACATGTAGGAGTTCCTGGTAGGGGCCATGCTAATGACATGAAATAAACACAGGTTTTATAGCCAGAGACCTGGGTGACCTTGGGAAATTCATTAACATCACTGAGGCTCCATGTTTTCAGCTGTAAAAGAGGTATAAGACTTGCTTTGAAGAGTGGTCCTGAGTGTAAAAGAGGAGAAATGAGATCTCTATGTAAAATGCTTTAGTGTAACACCAAGCAGTATAGAGAGACAAAACAAGGAGAACCTACTGTATCTCATTTTTTCCTACTAATAAATATCCCTTTTCTTCTCCTCCAACCTCATGGCATATGTTGCAAGCCTTTGGAGTACCTGAAGAGTAGTTGGTAATTCTCCCTTAGGAGAAGACAACTGGGTGATGCTGCATTGGTCTCAGCCACAGTAAACCTTTTGCCCATTGAAGAAAGTAAAGTCTGCTAGCAGAAAGCTGGTACCCTCTCTTACTGGCCTTTAGAAAGGACCTGATTCCCATCAACAAAATGAGTGATTGCTGTTGGAAAACAGGCTGTGTGCATTTATATAGTGAGAGGTGTCTTATGGGATTAGGTGAGTAATGAAAGAGTAATCATTATAATAATTTTATAACCTAGACGTAAAAGAGAAGTGGAGAAGGACCAGTTCTCTTCTTAAATATTTGCCATTTAATATCTTCAGGCAAGTCAATGTGTTTTCTTATAAATCAGCAAGAAGTAGACTCAGGTGTTTTAGGGGAGGAATGGACCTTAGATGCCATGTGGCATGGTCTGCCTTTCAGAAAGAGGAACAAACGCAGGACCACAGAGGGCCAGGGAATACGCCCAAGGTCAGGAACTGCCATTTGTTTTGACTACCTCTGGAGAGATATTCTCATGACAACACACTGCCTCTCCCTGGAAAGTGAGGTAAGAGTTGCCCAATCGAATTCTGAAATAGGTCAGTTATAGATGCCCGTGGCAGCCACCTTCTCTTTAATTATTTAGAAAATGCTTGTCTGAACTTGTTATCAGGAGACACACACTGAGAGAGAAGGAATATATTTTTTCATATGTCAGGAAGCCAGGGGTAATAGAACATCCACATCTGGAGAAAGGTGTGATAATAAATCGCCGTGAAATACAGACTGTTCACGAGCTGTTTTTGAAATCCTGGCTTTGTGAAAAAGAACCAAAGGCAACAGAAAGTAAAATTCGTAACCAGGTGCTTCTTGGTATGGATGTGTTGGACTGAATGTCCATATGACTAGATCACAGAAATGAACCACTGGAAAGAAGGGTGCACTGTTTCTCAAAGGGAGACAAGGGAGGAAACCAACATTTGTTGAGCTTTCCTTGGCCCTGGAAGTGCTTGCAAATGGCAAGGTCAGGACTTGAACCCAGGTTCAGCTAAGCTTAAAGCCCAGGTTATTTCCCAACAAGCCAAAGAAATGTCCCAACTCCATGCTCCTCCTGGCAATGTGGACAAGCAAGCATCTCTTCCAGCAGGTGATTTTAGTTTCCACAGATGGGAATTGTGTACAGGGCTGGGGGAAAGGCCAGCAGCTCCATTGCTTGGCATGAAGGCTGGAACTGCAGGAACTATTGCAGACGAACTAGTCATCACAGATGATTGGTAAGGGAAATCGACTTTAGTGAACCAATATCTGCAGGCATCTTCATCACACCATTATGTAGACAGACTAAACTAATTGGTTAGCCTAATAGTTAAGTACAGACTTTGTTTTGGAACCTAAATGTTTATAAGATACGAGAGAGAAGAAGCTTGCTGGAACACAGACTGCTGGAACACAGTCAAGAAGGAGATTCAGGGAGAGGGAATTCCCCTTAACATGGGAACCCAAATATTTCAAAACTAAAATTTTGATGACACATTATACAAAATAAAACCAAATCCCATATTACAAAAATAATGAACTCATAGGTCATAGTATGTGCTCAGGGCTTTATATGTTATCCCACTTAATATGCAGGATTAGGCTTATGAAGGAGGCTTTATCATAACAAATTTTATAGATGAGGACACTGAAGTTTAGGAGAGTTAAGACGCCCAAACCACCTATACTGCAAATGATATCATCTTTTAAAAGGCCGGTGAGCATTACTGACCCGATGACTCCCCATGCAGGGGACATCCTGGAGAAGATGGAGGGATGGGCTAGAGTTCCAGCGTCCCAGTCCAAGGAGAGGGCCTTTACCCCTCAAGTCCTGCCAGTGGACTAGGAGACAGCAGGTGAAGGAACCTTTTATTGATGGCTGCCTCAGGCATTTTGATTTTAAAGAGCTCCTGTTTGTGCATTCCCAGCACCACTGCCTAGGACGGTGAGAACACAATACTCTCCACTTCTGGACTCATAGTGAATGTATTTGTGAAAGTACATGCCCTTTCACAGAGGAGGAAAGATAGACTAGAACACTTAGAATTCAGTGATTCTACAAGATGGAGCAAAAAGAGTTCATAGAATTGCAAATAATTCTGGGTAGAGTTTAGAGAGTGCTAGTGTTTGGACTTTGTCTGGCAGGCAAAGGAGAGCCATCAAAGGACCATTAGCAGGACAATTGTATGATTTGTCTTAGGCACATCTGAAAGGACATCAACTGGGGAGGAAATTGCATTTTCATTGCAACTCTACCCCAACACGAACTACCTTACCTCTAATAAAACCTTCAAAAGCTTCAAAAATGTTGGCACCTTCCTTGGTTTCAGACATTACAAACAGGAAACTCTACCCATGAACTAACCTTCGCCCTGTCCTTTCCTGAAACAAAGAACAGCTGTTCTCCCACTTGGATATGCCTGGAGGAAAGAAAGGCCCCTAGTATTCTTAGCTGACTGCAAAGAGACTGACTTGACTTCATAAGATTAGTCACAGGTACATACAGATGGTCACAGAGTCAACGTATTGGGACATTTTAGTTTTTACAGGTATTTGTCTCTGATAGGATGCTGTCAACATTGGCAGGGGGGAACCCTGGAATCATAGCTGCTACAGAGAAAATATAATTCATTCCTTGGAAGAGGGCCTGAACTCTAAAGAAATTAAGCAGTAGTGATGTACTAAGTGCTCTTTCTCTAATTATCAGTACACAAGTCCATTCGCACATCAACTAAGACTTTAGAACAGCTTTAGCTATTGTTTGTGATGGTGGGTGTTATGTTCTTTGTTTATATTTGGATTTACTTCTTTGCCTTAATTCTAAGATACACTGTCAATTTAACGACAATGTTTTGGGGGAAGAAGAAGGAGGAGGAAAAGATTAAATTTAATGTTTGTTTTAATTGTGAAATAATCTGATTTCAAAAATGTTGAAATATATATATATATAGGGGTGGATATAGGAAAAGGTATACTCTATCATAAAAATTTCCAGGAGTGAAATCAAAGATTTCTAAAGGTACTAGGAATGTTATAATCAGTGGCATCCAAAGCTCTGTTTTCAGACAGAGAAATCTGAGGCCCAGGAAGGCTAAGAGATTTGCTTCAGGTTCTAAAGGAAATTATTTGATAATGAGCCCAGAGCCAGAAACCTCATCTCCCAACCTCAAGTTTGGTTTGCTTTCCATAACACCAGAACACTCCAAAAAATTTCTGTGACAAAAAAACACTCATCATTTCCACTCACCCTCATATTTATGGCCGGGGAAACTATTCAGAGATAAAGCATGTAAACAAGTAAAATGTGTCATAACTAAGTATATTTTACCAAAGAAACAAGGGAAAGATCATGGCACTTCAGTCCTTAACAAGAACTGTTAATTTATTCAATGGCTGTTATCAGGAGTATGCGACACCCGCATATCAAATTGCATTTTAGTATGTTGAAATGAATGCTTTTACTTGTTCTTTGGTTCCTAAAGCTAATTATTATTTTTAACACCTTTTGATATGCTAAGTGAGGCTCATAAGAGATTTCTTGTGTGTTTATTAGTCATCACCGTCATCTCACATATGTATATATATTTTTACTACTTTCAAAGTGTTAGTAAATTATATTTGAGCCTCAGAAGAACATCATAAAGCAGCTATTACCTTAGTATTTCTCCTAGGAAATACTTAATTGGCAGAAAGATGTGGTATCAGACCATATAGTTTCAAACCCTTCTCCTGTCACCAGCTGTGTGGCCTTGAGTAAATTACTTAATCCCTCTGTGCTTCACCTGTAATATGGAGCAACAGGAGTAGCTGTCTTGTGCGCTTGCTTTTGGAATTAAATAAGGTAATCCATGCAAACTGCTTATCGAGTCACCTGGCATATTCTACCTATACTATATTGTTAGCTAGACTATTTATCCATCATAAATTATGTATTGATAGCCTCTAATAACTAACACTTAATGAATGCTTATTAGGTACCAAGTACCATTCTAAGAACCTGACAGTAGTAAGACAATTTTCACAATGACTGTTTGAGGTGAGAACTATTATTACTATGTCTGTTTTGCAAATGAGAAAATTGAGACACAAAGGTAAACTCACTTGTCCAAAGTCTCGCAGGTGGGAGGTTGTAGAGCTGGGACTCAAACTCAGAAAGTGGTTATAGGCTCTACTCTGCTATCTCCCTATATGTGCTAGGCATGGGGGGTGGGGAGGGGAATAGCACAGAGAACCACATGGTTCCT